GGGGGGGCAGGGGCGCAGGGTGGGGGGGTAGGTAGGTCTGGCCCAAATTGCTCACTAGGTTTTGCCACTTAATCACTAATTCTAGAATCTAGGGCAAGGCAGGTGACCTCAGGAAGCCAGAGAGTTTTCCATCTTCCCTGTGAGGCACGGTGGCTGTTAGTGTACCGGGATGAACAGGTATCTTTCGGCCATGAGGGAGGTGCCAAGCTGCTCTGGGGGGCCGGGGTGGGGAGTGGTGCTGCGGGGCCACCTGGCTTCACAGAACTCACCTCGTAGCCACGCGTCTTAGCTCGGCACCAGTCCAGCAACATCTGCTTGATGCTGTTGGCGTTGGGGACCCCGAAGCTGGTGGAGCGCTGTACGGCTGCACGGGGGCCACCAGGGCTTCTGTGGGGGGGGGGCGGGGGGAGGAGGTATGACGGCAGGGAGTTGCAGTGGGAAACCAGGTCACCAGGCCTCTGGGCGTGGCCCACCCTGCCCCAGGGCCCCCCCCCCCCAAGCTCCACCTTCTCTACCTCAAACTCCTCCCGACACAGCTCGCAGGGGCTCCGCGGGCCCAGCCCCGCCCACACAGATCAGGCCCCGCCCCCAGTCCAGTAAGCCCCGCCCCCGCCCTAGTCCAGGCGCCTCACCCAGCGGCGCCTTCCTTCTCCAGCTTCTCAATCATGGCCTTGCGCGCCTGGGACGCCGAGGTCTTGGGCAGGCTCTGTGTCTTCATCAGCTCTTTCTTCTTCTCTGCCTGGCGTTTCTCTAGTGCCGCCAGGCTGCCGGGCCGAGGGCTGGACTCATCCTCGCGGTCGAAGATACTGCGAGGTATGGAGGTGGCTTAGAATAAGCAGGGAAGGGCAGACCCACATCTCCAACCCTCAGCCCCCTAACTCTCCAAGGATAGGGTTTTGTAGTGTCCAGACCCCGCACCCTGTAGTTATCGCCACAACCTGTAAGGCTGGCTTGCTAGGAGGGGAGCTCATCATACCCATTTTACAGAGGAGTACACTGAGGCTGGACCAACAAGGTGCAAGCCCTACTCTTCAACAGCTTTCCCCTTCGGGAATTTTTCCAGGAGGGTTGTTTTTTTTTCGGTTTCTTGTTGGTTTCGGTTCGAGCACCGTCAACTGATAAAGACACTCGGCATCATCACAGTACAGCCAATAACAACGCACCAGCTCTGGGCCTTCCCATGTGTAGTTTTAACCTTCAAGGAGGGTGGGGCTCTTATCATTTCCACTGAGGCGAGGAAACTGAGGCTCTGGTTTTAGATTTCATAAGACAGAGCAAGAACCTGAACACGTCTCCAATGCCCAGGACCCCTCTGATTCCCAGCCTGATTTCTGAGCCTGTCCCTGTTTTCTAGCAGCCCAGACATACTCTGAGACACAGAGGTGTAGCTCCCCCTACTAAGGCCAAGGGCAAGGGTGGTCTGCAGACACTGTGAAGGCTCACTGGGCAGCTCAGTGTGGTGGGCAGGTCACACTAAGGGTCACCGGAGTGAGCGCTGTTGCAAGTCTCGAGTCTCTCACCTAGCATAGCTGGAGACTAGGTGACCAGCACTCCTGCCTCCCAATACCTATCAGCTCCCAGCGCCTTCCTGAGTCTACTCTGTAGAATGGGTATGCAGTGAGGTTCTCTGGGGGGAAAGAGTCCCTGGGTCCAGGGAGGGAAAGGGAGTAGCTGAGTCCTCTGTGGTTGGGGTAGGTCATGTGCGCACCTGCCCATCTTCTTGGATGAGGAGGAAGACGAGGAGGAAGAAAAGGTCTTGGTCTGCACTGTGGTGCTGCTGCCACCATCTGCAGGAAAGAGGAAGTTGAGAGGGTGAGTGCCTAGGCTGGACACTGGAGGTGGGGCAAGGGGCCATGGTGGTAGCCACAGGTGAGAAAAGTGACAGCTGGACAGAGAGACACACAGATGAAAGTACGGAGAGAGAGTTCGAGGAAGAGCCTGAGGAGGTGGCCAGGCAGGCAGGCACAGGGCGACACCAGGCGGCCTTACTCTCCGAGCGCCTCACAAAACTTGACTCCACTGTGGTGGTCCGGGCCGTCCGTGTGCCATCATCTGGAGGGGCAGGAATTTCAGAGAAGGGTGTGAAGGCGTGGAGGCAGTGCGGTGGGAGCATGCCCACCCCAGCCCTGCGTGGCCCCTTACTGGATTGGACGAGCCGCTCAGTCTTGGTGACAGTGCTGACAGCCGAGCCGTCGGCTGCCCGCTGGCTGTGCCGCGTGGTGGTTTCGGTGGTGGTGTTGCCTCGGCTCTCCCCTGGCCGGGCCCGTGCCTCCTGTAGCCGCCGTTCCCGTTCCTTGTCCCGCTGGTCTGTGCGGGGGACGCCCCATGCATGCCCGGAGGGGCCACCCATCACGCACAGAGCACAAGTGCACGGGTACATGGGGCACACAAGGGGGTGAGGGGGCAACTCGTTAAGCAGACTGAAGACGTAAGGGAAAAGGCCCTCTAGGGGTAGCTGGGAATGAGGGGCCATAACTTGGCAGGGAGCGGGGGGGTGTAGTAGGTAGAGATAAATTTGGGCAGAAAGAGTAAATTTGGACCCCAAAGGGAAAGTACTGGATCCAAGGAGGGAGTTTTTATGGGAATAAGAAGCTAAGTCCAGAGGGAATCTTTAGCCCTAGGGAGGGTGTGCCAGTCCCTGGGAGGGAGAAGCTGGGTGGGGGCAGTAGTGAGTGTGCCTGCACATGGGCACACGCCCATGGAGAACAGCTAGAGAATCCCATGAGAGTAACTGGTACCGGAGGAGTAATTTGATAAAGGGAGAGATGAGCTGGGAGACAAGCTGGCAAAGGGAGCAAGAGGCCCAAAGTCGTGGTGGAGACAGAGGCTGGTCAGCCGTCAGTGGGCCTTGGAGGAAGCAGCCAGATTCAGAGTGGGAGTAACTGAACATCTAGAGAAGCAGATGAATCTAGAATCTGAGGTAAAGAGTCACTGGGTCCAGGGAGGATGTATCTGGGGAAGAAGTAGCCCAGCGAAGGGGAAGCGGGGTGGGGGTGGAGACTAAGGCGGTCGTCAGAGGATCTCAGGAGAGAGAAGCAGCTGAGAGGAGGACCTGAGTTCAGGGAAGGAGTTGACAGTACTTGGAAAAGCAACTGGGTCCCAGAAGGAGCTGGGAGAGAGTGACTGGGTCTAGGAAGGAGAAGAGAAGCTGGCTGGGGACAGTCACTGGGGTGGTCAGGAGAGACAAGCAGCTAGGGATGGGAGCTGGGTCCAGGGAAGGCGGCAAGGGAATGGCTGAGTCTAGAAAAGGAGAAGCTAGGCAGGATGGTTACTGAGCTGGGGCATCTAAGAATGAACCCCAGAATGAGAGGAGGAGCTGGGGAATGGGGCAGCTGGCTCTCTACCTCTCTTCCTTTGTCGGAGCTCACGGAGTGCTGTCCGGATGAGCTTGCGTTCCTCAAAATCTGTGGTCCGATCCAGCTGCAGAAAGAGCCCCTCTCACTGGTGACCTGGTGCCTGCTGGCCTTCACCCCATTCGCCCCCCGTTCACACCACATCTGGCCATACCATCTTGTCCAGGACGCTCTCATCCTCAATGGCCATCAGCTCCTCTGCACTCAGTGGGCTCCGCCTCTCCGATGCTTTGTCCACCTGGGTTTGCTTGGCATCACTGGCCACTTCCACTGCTGCAGAAGGCTCTGCTGGCTCTGGCTCCATCTGCAGGGTGGGGAGAAAGCATGGGCTTCTCTCAGGGGTGTAGATGAAGCTGGGCCATGCCCCCACTGGGCAGGTGACCAGGCCCTTGAAATCACCACAAACCATCCGGACTGCCTGTCCACGGATAGCTGTATTGTGTCAGGCTCAGAGAAGAGGTTTCAGCCTTGTTGTAGGGTTTCCTGTGAACCCAGAATTGTGTTGACACAAGAGCGGCAATAATGGTGAGCTCCATTCAGTAGTAAGCTCTGTCGAAACTAGGCGTTTCACTGTCCCTCGTTAACAGAAAGGGAAAGTGTGGCTCTGAGGCTATATGACTTGCCACAGTCCTGTAACAGTTGAAGCAATCTGGGGTTCTGAGCTGAAGGCACCCTAATTATTGAACTCAAGTTCTTTTTGCTGCTTTCTTCTCAGCCAAGGTGGGCTGTGCTCTGTTCCCGCCAGTTCCCAAGGCCTGGGACCTCCAGGGCCAGTGCCCAGGCTGCGCCCCCCTGCCATGGGGTTGGATCAGAGCCCTCCCTCCCTTGGCAGAGGGCAGTCAGGTGTCTGCCCAAGCCAAGTCCTCTCTGAAGCTTGCCCCTGCTCCCTGACTGCCCACTGAAAACCACCCTCTGAGGGTCCTGAAGCTCCAGCCTCGCCCTTTTCCCACTCGCGGGCTTCTCCCCACCCTCTTTCAGACAACCCCCTGGCCCAAGCATCAGAGCCCCATCCCTCCTGGGGGGCCCCTTGTCCTGCTGTAAGGGCAGGGAAAGCCAAGGTGGCAGCTGTTTCAGAGTCCCGGCCTGGCTGGGGCTGGGGGTGGGGCTGGGACCAGGCCAGGGCCTGCCAGGGTAGCCGCCACACACACCAGAGAAGGGCCAGGAGCCTGCCACCCTCTCGCTTTGGTCTTGGAGCACTCCAGCTCAAAGTGACCCAAACACACAGGTACAGTGAGGCTCAGAGAAGGTGGTGGCACACCTAAGGCCACTCAGCAGAGGCGGTGCCTAGCTCAGACCCATCCCCTACCCCCAGCCCACTGGGACTTACGAGACTGCTGCTGCGGGCAGGGCCGGCAGAGGAGTGGCGGCGGGTGCTAAAGGCAGGTGGATGGGCCACGGGGGTCCCCGCATCCTCAGCCGCTTGGAAGAGGGCCTCAGGGTCTGCAGCGGCCAGGAGCAGCTCACTGGGCTCCAGCTCAGGCTCAAGGTCAGGCACGAGTGGGACCCCCAGGTGAAGACTCAGCACCTCCACCTGCCTGCCCAGCGCATCCAGCCGCCGGCTCAGGGCTGTGGTCTCCCCCCGCAGCTCTTCAGCTGCTCGGGCCACTGGCTCCACGGCAGAGGCAGCCGCCTCAGCTGCCTGGGTCACTGCCGCCCGGCCTGCCTCAGCCACTGCCCGCAGCTCCTCCATGGCCCGACCCAGCTGCTCCTCAAGAGCTACAGCTAGCTCAGACCCCGGCCCCGGTACCCCCGGCATGGCGCTGGTGGGTGTTCTGTGGCAGGGTGACAGGGGCAGTGGTAGGGGCTGCTGCTTCTAGCTGGCAGTGTCAGTCTTTGTAGCTGAGGGCGAAAGCAAGGGCAGTGGGCCTGCCCCGCCCCCGCTGGCCTCTCAGCCTGCCACCAGCCAGCTGGGGCTGCTGCCCAAATAGAAACCTATTCTGGGCGCCCTGTGGTGCGGGGGAGGGGCAGCCTGTCCAAGCAGGCAGTCCAGTAGGCCTAGACTTAGCCCTGCAGAGATCACAGGCCCAAAGCACAGCAAGGCTGCAGGGTCTGAAGGATTACTGAGGCCAGGGGCAAGGAATGGGCTTGCTTGGGCTGCCAAGTGCTATAGCTATGAGGATCCGGCCTGCCACTCCAGAGCCTGCACTGCTTTGCCAGCACGCCATGCTGTTTTAGAAAATCTTTAAACAGATGGGGTAAGTGGAGGCACAGGGAAGCAGCACTTGGAGCAATCTGCTGTGACAAGTGTCTTGTCCCTGAGATAAATGTCCTGAGGTGCCCCGTGGTGCTCAGATCCAGACTGAGCGAGTACCTTAGAGGCACATTATCTGTTTCCCTTGGCTTTAAGTGGGGAAACTGAGGCAAATTGGTGGTAGCAGACCCAGGCACACTGTGGCGCCCTCTCACCCACCCAAAGGTTTCAGCCTTATGCCCCTCCCTCCCTTGGCAGAGAGCAGTGAGGTCTGGCTCTGTGGGGGAAGGGCAGCGGGCAGCTGCCTCCTCCGCAGAGCCAGTGGCTGGGCAGCTGAAGAGCTGCGGGTGCAGAGCACGGCCCTGGGCTGGCAGCTGGATGCTTTCTTGTCCCCTCTCCCTGTCACCCTGGGAGAAGGTCCAAAGCCGGCTCTAGCCATCTCACCTCCACCCAAGTCCTATTCAGTCCCAGATGCAGTACAGAGGCATCACCTGGCGGCCAGGTGGCCCGCTGGGGGTTCCTTCCCGGGCTGAGCTCCCAGCCGGCCGATCCCAGGCTTGGGAATTAATAATGGAAGGGCGCAGAGTATTCAATTCCCGTGGCACCCGCTATGCTGCTGCCTCACTTGAGTGATACCCTCCGCCCGCCATCAGTGCTTCTGCCCAATCCCCCAGAGATGTTGACGCAGACGCTAGTCGCTAATCTCCAATCTTCTAATGGACCTTGGATCTTGGCTGAGCAGATGAGCAGCCCTGCACCTTGAGGCTGAGGTGCATGGGGGATAGGAGCAGGGGCACCGGCCCCGCCGTGGAAGAGGGAAAACACCCTCTCGGAGCCTCAGTTTCCTCATCAGTTCATTAGGAATCAACCCACCGATCCTGGAGTAAGTACCAGGGACCGGCGCGTGGGAAGCCTAAGGCCGGAACTGTGTCCGGTGGCTGCCACCCTGGGGTCTGGTGTTAGCCAGCTGTGGGCACTGCGCAGCTGCCTTCTCTCTCTGGGGGCCTCCGTTTCCCTTTCGTACAGTGGGGAAGTAGAGCACAGGAACCCTGCGACCCCTGGACTCTGAAGCAGTCTGTAGAAGGCGAGGGAGCGGGTGAGGCTGGCGGGCTAAGGACGGACTCACCTTGATGCTGTAGCCTCGCCGGTTACCAGGGGAGGCATGGCTGAAGCTGGTGACCTGAGTAACACTGCCCACCCGGGACAGGGTCCCTGGGTTGCTGATATGGGTGATGGTGCTCTTGCCCCCACTGCTGGTGCTGAAGAGGGTAGGAGGTGCTCGCAGTGTCAGTTCTGGAGGGGAATAAGCTGCTGTTAGGATCAGGTGGGGTGAGGGCAGTGCCAGTCAAGGTGGCTGGCACCCTGCACTCCCAGTGTACCCTTTAGAAACACCCTGTGCTGTGGCCACAGCATCTGTACTACGTACAGTCCTGGGTGGCTACAGGTGCTCACCCCAGCAATGGGGAAGGAGCGGGGAGGCCTACCTGCCCTTTGGTTGCCGGCGGGCAGCAGCACCCGGCCTGGGGAGGCCTGGCCTCGGCCATCCTTGATCTCGATGGTGAATGTAGTCTTCATACTGCCCCCTGGCTCGGCAGTGCCGACAGGCAGTGGGGCACTGGGCTCCTCTGAGCGGGCTGCAGGCCCCCCTGCTCCGTTTTCAAGGGGCCTGGCAGCCAAGCCCCGCCCCCGGGGGGCCTCCTCCCTGGGGCAGCTCTGAAGCTGGGCCAGGGGCCGAGCTGTTCCTGGCTTCTCCTTACTGAACCGGGAGGAGGCAGCACCAGGGTCCCGTAAGGAGGAGCTGGAGGAGGAGGCGGGGGTGGTGCTGATAAGGGAAGGACCCGGGAGCCTTGCAGGGGTGGAGGAACCTAATTCTGCCCGTGGTGGGCCGTCCTGGAGCGCAGCAGCCACAGGAGGGTCAGATGTGAACTTGCGAACGCGGTCCCGTACAGAGCCAGCCCGCCGGAACGGGGAAAGTCCGCTAGCAAGTGGGGTGGGCTCTAGAAGGGACAGGAGAGCTGTCAGTAGCTGGGTGGGATCGGGTGGGCTGCCCAGAGCTTGGGGGGTGGGACCAGGCAGTACCTTGATTCTGGACTGGCTGGCGGGAGCTAAGCACAGACAGGGAGCGTTGGCAGGGACGGGGTCCAGGCATGTCTACAGAGGGGAGGCAGCGGGGCCACGTGGGGGAGAGGAGAGAGTAGATGTGGGGGATCCATCTCTACGGTCCTCTGAGCCTCCCAAACCCTCCCTGTACCCCAACCTCTCCAGTCTCCTGGTCTCCCCCATCAGTTGCGTCTTTCTTCCAGGACCCTCCTTTCCTTCCCGAATTAACCCCAGATGTCCTGGCCGCTCCTGAGGGCTGGGGCTGAGGAAGGATGCCCTGATCCTCCCTGATGATGGGGGGTGGGTGGGGGGCACCTCCCTCCCTCCTTGACCAGCACTGCCCTGGCTCCAGCTGGGAGATGGGTGAACTCCCTTATTGGGGAAAAGAATGTGCCTGAGGCCCGTTGCCTTTCAAGGCTGTGGGGAGGCCTCTGGCCATGGGTGGGGGGCGGGCCAGGCTGGGGGAGGGACACCTCAGGGGCAGTGGGAGGAGTGTCAGACAGACTGGACCTGCAGAGGCTAGAGCTGTTGGGCACAATAACCCATTTTCTAGGCAGGGGAAGGCAGATGCCAGCTGCTACCCCACTGCTGGGACCCTCACCTGCGCTCTTTGTGTCGGAGGGACTTCTGCTGGTGCTGGCAGCGGTGGGCTCCGTGGGGCCAGGCAGGAGCTGCAAGGGAGACAGGGCATGGGCAGGATCTGACTCGCTGACCACAGAGCTCACCTGCCTGGCGCCCCTGCCCCTCATCCAGCCCACCTTGTTGACCACCTGTCCCTCAGTGCAGGGGGGTGCTGGCAGCTCCTGGGTTTCAGGGCTGGTGGCCCTGGGCAGGGTCGGTGGTGGCTCTGAGGCGCCTAGAGCCTTGTCGGCAGGGCATGGGCCCTCGGTAGGCTCCAGCGGAGGCTCAGGAGAGGCAGTGGTGGGTGAACTGATGGGTGAGGCAGGTGACCTGGGTGTGTCCCCAGGTGTGGCCCGCAGCAGGAGTGTCACCGTGGTCACATCCTGGTTGGTGCCTTTAGGGCTTGGGGTTGGTTCTGGGACCTCTACCTGCTGCTTCTGTTCTTCTCGCTCCAGCACCTGAAAAGGAACCACAGAATGCGACCAAGGCTACCCAGACTGGCCGGTGCCTGGGGCAAGGCATGCACAGCAGAGGGGCTGGGCATAGCTTCCTATGGGCACACCTCCATGAGCAAGGGCACCGGCACTGGCAAACCTTGAGTGGTCTCCGATACTCACCCCAGCCTCTTGTACTACCTGGCCAAGGGCAGTTCAGAGAGGACCAGATCCTGATGCCAGGGGTTGGGGATGGCGGATCTGCTGCGGACTGCCATCCTCCAGAGACCCCTGGCACAGGGTCCCTGACCGCACCCTGGCCTTAGCCTGGCTAATCAGGGGAATGGCACGACCAGGGACCCAGTCGCCTCCGCCAGCTGCTTAGAGAAGCTGCACAGCCTGACAGCACTCCACCAGTCGGCGGGGCCTGACATGCAGGCCCTGGCTAGCCAAGGTAAGGATGTCGCTGCCTGGCAGGGGCTGGGGGGCAGCCTTGGGCTGGATTTAAGCTACTGAGGTACCAGGGTCAGCATTTCGAGGAGAGCCCAATGTATGCCCAGAGACTGGAAAGCCAGGGTGATGGCAGAAGCTAAGTGTGGAGATCAGTGAGGGTGGAGATGGGCATTTAGTTGCAGTGGAGATAGGCCTGCTTTGAGGAGAAGGCCTGGTAGAGACAAAGTCTGGAGTTGGGGACATGTGGCCAGGGTTGAGGTGGGGAGAGAGCAGAGACGTGAAATAGAACCAGTGTCCCGCAAACACAAGCTTGGGGGGGGGGTCCCTCTCAGTGGAGTACCAGTCTTGCAAAGACAGACAGCAGGTGCTCTGTGCTGCTGGCATCTGTGGGCACAGGCCACTGGCCCCCCTTCCAGCACGCTCGCACCCCTTACCTCACACTGTTCAAGCCTGTGGGCTGCCGGTCCCTTGCTGTTCTCACTTGAGTCACTGTTGGGAGTACCACTGCACAACCTCCCAGCCAGGGTGGCAGCTGGAAGGGAAGGAGAGTGGCTGGGAGGTGCCATGGGCAGCGCGCAACAGAGCGGGGTGGACCAGGGCAGGACACATACCCTCAATCTCCTGGGCCCGCACACGGCGGATGGCGGCCCGGATCAGCTTGCGTTCTTCATATTCACCGGCACTTCGCAGCTGTGGGAAGAGCCCGGTGTTGGGCTTTGGAGTCCAAATCGGCTGCTCTGCTCCCACCCGCCCCGACATCGCCGAGCCTCACCAGCACGGTCAGCTCCTCCACATCGCTCATGGACTCCAGCCGCCCCGCCAGCCGTGCCAGAGCGGCCCGCTGCTCAGCCTCCCGCTTCTGAGAGCTGCAGGGACATCATGACTGTAACCCCCACTGCCATGGCCTGGTCGTGAAGGATGTGGACTGAGGGTAGGGACCAGGACAGGGACCCCACAGCAGAGAGGCAAGTAGCTCTGCATATCCCCTGCTACATGTGGGCGTATAGTGTGCCCATGGATGTTACCACTGATAGCACATGCTGGGATAGGCTGTCCATGTGGGCGCGACACCACGGTGATGGGCATGTAACCCCTGACCACAGATCTGTGTGTGTACCCCAAATGGCAGCAGTGTGCCCTGGGGGTAGCACATTACTACCCACCGACACACCAGCTGAGCCCCAGTATACATCCCCACCTGCATGGCTGACCCCTGCCACTCACTGCAGCCAGTTCTCCTTGTTGTCCTGCCGCTCGGCCCGGAAGCGCTTGGATGCCAGGGCCTCCTCCTCGCGCTCCAGCTCCTGCCGCTGCAGCTCTCGGATGGCTGAGCGGATGCGCCGCCGCTCTGCCAGATCTGCTGTGACCTCCAGCTATGGGGCAGGCGGGGGCGAGGGGCTGGTCATTTTGGCTGCTGGGGCAGAGGGCGGGCATTGGCTGCCCACGGCTCTGCCTGGGGCACAATGAGTGATCTGTCTATGTTCCCCCTATCCCAAGCCTGTCCCCTCCCTGCCCGCCCACCCAGGATCTCCTGGGGAGACCCAGCTACTAAAGCCCATGCTCCTGGTCAGCCTGCTGTGCATGATGGCTCACAGTGGAGCTGGCAAATGCCCACCTGTGCCAGGCAGCATTCCTTCCTGCAGCTCTACCCCTGCCCCTCAGAGTTCCACATCTAACCCCTGAGAGCGAGGGACACATAGCAGGAGGAGGAGGACCCACCCTCCGGGTCCCCAACAGTGTCTCTGGAGAAGGAAGGTGATTCAAATAGCTGGTGCTCCCTGGTGAACAAGGGAGACTCGCATGGTCTAGTCAAAGCACCACAGCCCTGCTGAAGGGTGGCTGCCTCATCCACATTGGTCAGATGGGGAGACTGAGGCAGGGCCAGGTGCTCAGAAGCCCCAGCACCCTGGTTGGCTGGGACTGTATTGTTCCCTGCTGGTCCAGTCCTAGACACCATGCAAGGGGCCCAAGTGGTAGGAACCATCCCCCAGACAGATAAAGCGACGGATAGGGGCCACCCAGGACCCTAGAATGTTCATGAGGAACAGGCACTCTCACCAGCTTCTTAGCCCCTCAGTCACTGGGGACTTGGGGGATGGCTGGTTTAGGCAGGTCCAGGAAAGGTCTCCTTCTCCGAGCAGTCAGCCAATTCACACCTCACCCCCCACAGAGCCTCTGGCTCAAGGAAGAGAGGATTGGCCCAGGGCCCACCCAGGAAGGTTTTGGCAGAAATAATCCTGCAGTGTAAGACTGAGCTAGATGGGGGCAAATATAGGTAAAGGTGATTTCTTCTGCCCCCACCTTCCAAATCATTTGGGGGCAGGATCCAAGAATTCTCTACCCCCTTTTTAAACTCCCTCTTCCTGCTTCATGGGGGGAAGCCAGGTATGTGTGGGGATAGGTTTTTGTAAGGAATGTGGCTGGCCCAGCTCATCTGGGACTTTACTTGTTCCAGTCTGAAGAGAACAGGCAGAGTCCTGGAGGATTCCAGGGTCCCTTCAGGTTCCTCATTCCTGAGGAGCTATGGAGGGGGTGGGGTTCTGAGGCTCAAACCAGATCCCCCAGCTGGCTCCTGTCCCATTCCAGTACTGGCTAGGTGGCCAGGAGCATGTCCTTTAACCTACATGTGTCTTAATTTTCTCATTTGCAAGATGGAACAGTGGTTCCCACCTCAGGGCAATGGGTGGGGGTGGGGGCAGGGCTTGGGGTCCCTCCCTCCACATAGCTAGGGCTGCTATAAGCATCAAACCCCAGGCTCAGTTCCAGCCACTCAAGAGGAGAGAGAGGAAAAGGCAAATGAGGACGAGATACAAGAGGTATCCGGATCATTTATTGAGATGCTGTATGTTTGGGGACACCCCCCACCCCCACCCCACAACCAATGCTTGGCCTAACCCTAGCCTTAGGGAAATCCTAAACATTTAAGTAATTACTCCCATTTGACAGATGAAGAAACAGGTTCGGGAGGAAGCGCATGGTCGAGTGACCTGTACATTGGCTTGAACCAAGTCTTTCTGAATCTGGGGACCCCTGGGCTGAGGTTAGCTCTGTTACAGGGGTCTGTCACAATGGGTACCTCAAGGACCTTGGCACTGTATTGGGGACCCCTCTAATCTGGATTGGAGGTACCTTGGGAACTCAGCATAGCAGAAGGAGGGAGAGTGGCTCACCGGCCACCCCCAATCTACAGACCTGGCCTTCCCCTGTACTACACTTGGAGACTGGGGGCCTGGGGCATAGCTGATGCAGCCCTCGGTGCAGAGAGTAAAGAGGTTCCGAGATGCAGACTAGCCTTTGTCTCCTAGGTCCCCCTTCCCCCTGCCCTGGGCTCCAGAGGTGGGGTCTTTGTCCCAGGAAAGGCCCGATGTGGGAGCTTGGCCACCTCTGCAACCTCTTGGGAGCCTCAATGTCCCCAAATGGAAAGTGGGAGCCTCTGTCCATTCTCCCTAAATGGGCGGGGCGGGGCTGAGGAATGGACAGCCTCATTCCACGACCCCCCTCCCCCATGACCTTCCCTTCGGGCCTGGAGGCAAAGGTTCTCTCACAGTGTCCCTGCTGTGTGTCCTGCCTCCCCGCCCGCCCGTGTGGAGAGGGCTGTGGGAGGGAGGGAAGGAAGTACAAAGCGCCATTGTCCACAAGGGAAAGGGAAAAGGGATGGGGCGGTTTCTGAAGTTGCCCTGTGAAATCCTCGCGGGAGGAAGGAAGGCGCTTCCTCCTCCCGGGGGGCCAGGCCTCCCCATACTTTCTGCTGTGGGGGGTGTCCGACCCGCATCTCTCTGGGCTTCTTCCCCTCAGCACAGTGGAGGCCGCTTTCCAGCGCTCACCCCGTGCCAACTGGGGCACCCGCCCGCACTGGAGCGCAGTCACGCCAGGGGGCGCTGAGGGCCCGCAGGCTCAGGACCCGCCCCCAGCCGGGCTCCCCGACCCCTCTCCAGCAGCCCCGGCTGGAGGGGGGCCGCACAGGAAGGCCCCGGCCACCGCCGGCTTCATGCCCCGACCACCGCCGGCTTCATGTCCCGGCCAGAGAGGAAACCGCGGTTCACACCGTGTGAGCAGCTTCCCCGGGTCACTCAACCCGGGAGTGTGGGCGCCCGAACTCCAAGCCCGGAGCGAGGCGGAGGGGCGCGCGGCGCGCACGTCCCCAGGTGCCCCCGCCGCGGAGCCCCTCGCCCGGCCTCAGGAATGTGAGGGAGCCTAGACCGGAAGCGGCTGCCCAGTCCCCGAATCGGCCCGACGTCGGGGCGCGGGCCAGCGTTTCCTTAAAAGGCTCGGCCCTGCAGGGAGGAGCCCGTTTCGGGACGCCCCCGTTCCTGCCACGAGGCCAGCGGGGCCGGCCGGCGCGCAGAGACGGCGGTGTCGCGCACTGGAGAAACCGGCCCGGGAGGGAGACTGGGGCGGCTCAGCCCACAGACTCGAGGGGCGGGATCCGCCCTCCAACCTTCCCTCCCGCTAGCTCGAAACCCTTTTAGCGTGTGCAAACCCGCAAGGTGATAGGGGCTGGCGGATGGAGACCCGGGGTCTCAGCGGACCCCGGGTGGCGGGCGCTGGAAGGCCCCTCTGGAATGCTCTCGTAAACCCCTGTTAGGATTCTGATTTCCTGAAAGGAGGTCGCTGACAAAAACCTTAGGAAATCCATTCCCTCCAGGGGCACACAGGCTGCGGTGATGGCAAGACACCCACAGTCTAAGAGGCTGGCCTGAGGACATAGGCCTAGTGCCTCGGTGGGTCACGGTAGTGGCCAGGCTAGTCTGGCTGGGTCCAGCCTTAACCTCCAGAGGAATGGGGAGGAGGAGATAGGTCGCGGTAAATCTTTAATTTTCCCCCTGGACAAGGATCAGGGACTGGGAGGTGGGGCTGTAGCTCCTCCTCCAGTTCAGGTGCTCCTGTCCTTGCTGGTGGGCATACGTCTGCCCTGGTGTGCCCACAGCCTCCCTGTGAATGTGTGTGGAGTGGGGGTATTTAAGAAGAGGCTGAGGAAGGGGATAGCGGGCCCATTCTAATTCAGGGTCCAGGCCCATGTCTCATTTTCATCCCAGTATCAGCTCCAGGACTTAGACAATATATGTACACAACCCCTCCTCCCATTTTATAGGTAAAGAAGCTGAGGATCACAGTGGGAAAACGACAGGCCAGACGTTATAGGTGTGCCCCCAAGGCCACCTCTACAGGCTCTTCTGACCTTGATTTACCCAGGACACTGGGTTCCTCATAGGATTTGTTTGGATCCGGTCACATCCTCTTTCTATCTGGGACAGGGGGTTTCACCTCTAAGCCACAGTGTCCTCCTGGCTCTCAGAACTCTGTGACCATTCTGTGAGATTGCGTGCTCAGCCAGAAGCCCCTCTGCTGGGTCCTGGCTGTCACTGTTCCCACTGGACCAGCTTCCAGGACAGGTGTTTGCTTGGGAGAGGCAATTCCAGTCTCCCCACACCTGTGGCTGCACATGGGCGAGTCCTCAGCAGTTACTGTTTAAACAGGTGGTGGCTGTGGGGGGCTGGGAGGGACCAGGTCTTAGCACCTGGCATACACATGCCATGGGGGCCTCTTTATCAGTCATGCAGAACCAGCCTAGTCCTGTTCCCCTGAACCTTCCTCCAGCCCCCTCCCCCCATCATCACCTCTTGTCAGCTGAGAGGGAGCCTGGAAAGGCCCTGCCTCTCCCACGTGACTTGCCTGCCCCCGATAGTGGAAATGATAGGATCACTTACCAGCTTCCGCAGGGCTCCCTCATCCAGCCCAGCTAAAGCCTCGTCCGCCATCTTGCTGGCCCCTAGCTCCATCTGTCCCCTCGTGGTGAGATCTCCAGTACTAGGGGCACCTGACACCAGCCGGGGGTTCTGCAAAGAACAAACATTAATCAGGCCTGTGGGGCCTATAGAAACCCGCTCAGTCATGCCTCAGTTTCCCTTTTTAACCTATGATCATCTACTGCTGTCCCATCCTTGCTACCTCTGATGTAGCTCCTTGTTGGAAATTGCCTTCTGCCCTGGTGTGGTATGCTGGAAAACTCACCAAACCAAGAATAGGAGTCCCTGGTCCCAACCCAGCCAGCTCAACTGCCAGCCTGCTGTGTGGCCTAGGCTGGGCCCTCATCCTAAGCATCAAAGGGAAGGGAGGGAAGGGAACTGAAGCCAGGCCTCAGCCAGGCCCACCCAAGCTGCGCTCACCACCAGGGGGTGCCCACCAGACTCTATAGTTTCCTGCCCCACCCACCCATCCCCAGAGCTGGTTCAAGCCCCCACTTGTCTTTAAAGCTCAGCCTCTGGCTGTGGACTGAGCCCCCCCCCCCCCATGTCCAAGTCCTTGCTGCCACTGCCACTGCTGTTTTCCCAGGTAGCTTAAGCTATTGGAAGTAACACTTGTCTTCCAGTTCTTGGAGCAGCCCTCTCTACACACCCCTCTCCACTCCTCCCCTTCCTCCTGATGCTGTCTAGATCTGATGAAGACAACGCCTCCTGTCAATTCACTTAGAATTCAGTTCCCCAGCTGAAAGGTCCCTCAGAAGCTGACCCATACAACCTCTGGATTTAGGCAAATTTGAATATTAGATAGGGCAAGGGATTTGTCAGAGGGAGGAGATCCCAAAGACACAGCGGGTAGTGAGGAATTTAATAAAAATCTTGGCCATTTGAGCCTCTGAAGCCCTTAGTGTCCCCAGGAGTCCGGGACACTCCCTCTTACTCTGACACTCTGCATTAAAGACGACCCCTAAATCCTGGCCCAGCCTCCCAGTGTAGCTCTTTCTTTCCTCCTGCAACTCTGATGTCTTCTGGAATTTGAGGGCCACTGTCTGACACACCGTAGGTGCTTAATCCATCATGACTGAAAGGGTGCCAGGTCTGCCACCCCCAACTCATCCCTCAGCCATCCCTTCCCCTCCCCAGAATAGTCACTGATTGAGTCACCCAGTGCCATAAATGGATCTGGGGGGTATCCTAATCCACACAGTTGGGGTTCTTCCTACTCTACCTGTTCAAGTTGCTGCTTGCTTTTGCCGTGGAGTAAGTTCCTAACCTGTTGGAGTTCTTGTCTCTTACCTACCTACTTTGGAATAAGCTCCAGAGTCGCTCAGGGTTGCTGGTTTTAGGTTCTGAACCCTCTAAGCCCCCCCCCCATGTCTTCTGGGGGTGCCTAATGCTTAATCCAGGATGCCCAGGGGGCTGCCAGAAGTCTCTTTCTCCTCAGAGATCCTAGTGCTGCCGTCCTTCAGTCCCCAGTCTCTGCCACACATTCTGAGGTCCCTGGAGATTGTGAGAGGCCTCAGGGAGATGTGGAGCTTCCCCAAGTGTCTGCCTCCTGGGGGTCATGGAGCCCCCTGGAGATCCGTGAATGTCCATCCTGCAGTCTCAGAAATTTATCCCATGGCTTAGAGCCTGCGCGGGTAAGTGGGGAGTCCCAGAACCCCTATCCAAAAATTTGGGTTCTAGTGCAGACTGGCTGGGGGTCTTGGTGCTGCCGGGGACCCGCTCACCCACCTCTGTGTCCGGCCCGCCCGTCCGGCGCGGGCTCGGGTTAGCTCGCTCAGAATCCGACAGATGGACTGGGTTCAGTCAGGCGGAAGGCGCCCCGACCTGGAATCCAGGCCCGCTCAGCAACCGTTCTGGGATTCTGCAAGCACCGCCCGTCCAGCGACGCCTGCAACTCCTTCGGCTCCGCCCTGTACTGCAGCGCCAGCCAATCGCTGGGATGCACCCGCCCACCGTCTTGTCCCATTGGGGAAATTCAATTTGACGGTCACGCCTCTGGGGTAGGTCCCGCCCGGCGCGGGCCTGGGTTGTCGGGGATTGTAGGCTTGCAGCAACTGTCTGCGGCCTTGGCTGGTCGGGTGGGCGTCGGTACGGGCATGCAGCTTAGCGTCAAAGTCGGGAGCGTGCCTTGAGCCGGGGTAGGAGGCCGGCCTCGTCTGAGGGGCCTCAGAACAGTCCCTCTCTGCCGCCTCTTTGTTCGTGGGACTAGGTCCCCTCCCTCAACTCCGCCCCCTTCTGGAGTCAGGTCCTGGGTTTGGAGGAGGCCCCCAAGTTCCTTTTGAGACAACTGGGCCCAGCCACCTCAAAGCTGGGACTGAGTGGCTGTCAGCACCTTGACTCCATATTGAAGTATTTCAGGGACCAACTGGGAGGGAGCAAGATCAAACAACAGCCCTTTCCAAGTCAGACTTTTGCACAGACATTACCCTCATCTATCATGTATGTTTCTCCCTCCCTTCCAAGCCCTTGGGGATTAGCCTCTTGGGGTGGAGTCAAGATTCACAGTCTAGAAACGGGGAAAATGCGTCCCAGAGCGAGCCAACTTGTCCAAGACCTCACAAGGAATCTTGACCAAAGAGCTGTTTCCACTTTGTAAAGTCACTCCCCTGTAGAGCTGCGGTATGGCACCTGGGAGTTTGGGATATGGAGTCCTGGCCAAAGAATAACAATATGAATATTGTTTATTTTATACTTGCCATGTACCAGGCATATAACCCCAGTTTGGAGGATGTAGTTTGACATCCATTTGCCCTACCTGACCTAGCTGTGACCTTATTCTACAGAAGATTCAGGTCCTCCAAGGCCAAGTCAGGTCTACTTCAAAACTCGTTGCTCCTCTTGGCACAGCCTGGTGGGGTGGGCCACACCTAGGCTAGAAGGGAAGCTCAGAGCCTGCCGGAATGGGGTTTCTGGCCCCGATGAATGACCTGCTTCCTGCTAGCTTCCTTCTCTCCACTTCCAAGGCTGAGAGGAATGACACTGGTGAGTCTCTTGAGTTCCAGCTTAAAATGTGGCACATCTACCAGAAGAGTTCTGGTTATACAGAAACGATTCATGGGTCTTGCCCTGCCCTGACACAGTTTGGGGGCCTCCTCCAGCCTCTTTCCCTTCCTCCTATGAAGGCAGGGCAGGGCAGGATTGTGGTGGTAAAACAAAGATCAAAGGGCAGCTAATGCTGCTGATGAAACTTGCAAGCACTGCCCTAGAAGGATTAAATGTCCTGAGAAGAGGGTCCTGGCATTTACTGAGCTAGACACAGCGTGTCTACAAGGTCACCACGTGCAAGACAAGCATCATCAGAATCTATAGAAGAGGAAATTGAAGCTCAGGGAGGTAAAGGCACTTTGGACTAGTAATGGCATTTAAACTTGGGTGGAATTCTGTCTCGTGCAAAAGCCCCTGTGCTATAATGTGACTAGGTTGGGGGAAATCCTGGAAGGCTTCTCAGAGGAGGTAGTGTGCCAACTGATCCTTGAGAGGCAATGTGACAGGGTCACTTGTGAATAAAGACTAGGAGGTTTGTAAGTGGGAAGAGAGAGATGGGTTGTAGATGGAGCAGAAAATGGAGATGATGAAAGCGGTCCCATCAGTGAAAGGCCTTGAATGCCTGGTGAGCAGGGTAGACAGATCTTGTGGGTACTGAGGAGACTTAGGCCTCAGTCTGACTATCTGTGAAATGAGGGGATTAAACTGCTGCAGGTCCTCCCAGGGCAAGGGGCTATAATAGGAAAGGTTCAGATTTCTCCAGACCAACCATAGACTGGCAGAGTGGAGAGCAGCTTGAGCAGCTCAAGGGCCAAGGGTAATATTTTGCTACAGGGCCTAAGTCTGTGAATAAATAGTTTACCAAGCTGGCAGTGCCAGATCCCTGAATCACTCTGGCATCACTCCCTCCCGCCCCCCATGCTCCCCAGCCAAGCTCCTGCAGAGAAAGCAGGAGGCAAACTGGGCGATGGGTCTTAGTCCTTGCTTCACGCCATGTATTCTTGGTCCCCTCAGGGCCTTCATTTCCTCATTTGCAGTTTGGAAGAGTTGTGCCCCATGCATTCTAGACCAGACAACATAAAATTCCAAGAGAGAACTCCCTCTTGGGACATGCTTACAAGTAGCTGTGAGGCTAGGCAAGGCCAAGGCCTAGGACATCTGAAGGAGTCCAGAGATTGCTGGGCCCTGGGAAGGATGGAGGGTTAGAGATGTGCTGCTGCTGGACCTGCTATTGGGGTCTAGCCTAGGATGAAGAGGGGAGAAGTGGTGTCTGAACTCTAATGTTATAGAGAACAAAGCCCTCACTTGCTGTCAGGCATGCTGAGGGGATAGGGAAAGGCGACCTCGAGAGGGGGGGACTTCATGGGCAGAGGAAGGGAAGTGGAGCTTTTGGGAGGAAAATCAGGTAGATGAAGCTGGAACATGGGGCTCCTAGGGGAGAAGAACTGTTTTTTTCCAGGATTGGCTGGATCCAAGGACCTTCTTTCAGGGCAGAACTGGAGGTCCCCAAGGTCATGACCCGCAGTCCCAGAAGTGAGGCTAGGGACGTGTTTGACAAACCAGTTTGGCAAGGCCATATCCTCCATGAGGTCATTCGGCTGCTGTTCTCAGACAGTGCCAGGGAAACTTCCTGTCTTGGAGGAGAAGGGGGCTCAGCCTCAGGGGCGGGGCGGGGTGGGGGGATGGAAAAGGAATGACATTTCAAGCTTCCCAGGAAGCTCCCTGGGAAGGACAAGGGGGCTCGAGACATCTATTGGGCTGTGGTGAATCCCAGGAGACCACCTCATGGAAAAGGAGAGGGTTCTGGATGGACTGACTTTGTGTGTGTGTGTGGAGGGGGTGGAATCCCAGATGCCTGATGTCTATGCTCATGACAGGGCCCCTGTGTAACTGCTGCCCAGTTACTGGGAACCTGATGGCACCCCTGTATTAGTACCTAAGTGGCAATTTTGTCACCATGGCCCTCATAAGTGGGACCTTTATTATACAAATGAGGAGACAAGCTCATGAGTTCAAACCATGCCAGGATTTGAACCCAGACCCCTGTTGGTAACCACTGTACCCTGGCCTCTGTTATTTGGGAATCTCTGCTCACATGGGGCCTTGCCATATTTCTTAACTACTTGGGATCATAGAGTAACCTGAGTGTGGAGACCTGAAGGGGCAGACTTCAGGTGACAAAGCAGTTGTTTTTCCCTCAAGGCCTGGCATAGCCAAGTATGAAATCACAATACCTGGCACAAGTTGACCACCTTCTGTGTGCCACTCACTCATTTAATCTCACTGCAGCCCTGTGAGGTAGGTGCCAAGATTATGTCCATTTTACAGATAAAGAAACTGAGATTTGGTGAGGGGAAGTCTCCCGTCCCAGCTGACCCAGCATGTTGGTAGTATGGTTAGCATTTGAACCCAGGTGTGAGGGCTCTTCCCCTTCATGGTGAATATGCAGCCCCTTTGCAGGTTCTGGAGGAAACCAGGGTCCAGCCCATAGTTTCCATGCAGGCCTGGACTCCCTGAGGCAGGCAGAAAAGTGCTGAGGTTGCGGAAACCGCTCTGAATCTTCCCAGAGGAGGCGGCCACGGTGGGAGGGAGTGCACGGTGCAGACCTCAGAGCCAAGTGTAGACGTGGCGGCTGGACCCACTGCAGGCAAGGGAGGGCAGGCGGGTGGGGCCCAAACCTTAACCCGGCCTCCCAGCCCTGTTCCCAGCCATTCCCCAGCCAGGCCCAGCCCTGCCCTCCCTCCTCACACCCCATCTGGGTTTGAGATGAGGTCTCTGCCTAATAATAGCTGAATGGCAGCAGAGGCATTGCCAGGAGCAGCAGCTACTCGGGGGTGGGGGTCCCCCATTGTCTTATGCTGACGTAGAACAGGTTTCAGAACTTTAAAAATAATAGCAAGAGCTTGTGAAGTGCATCGTGTGCCAGGTGTTGTGTGTAAGACCCAGTCCACAGTAATTCATTTCTTTTGCATGACCACCCGGATGCAATATGATTGTTATTCACTCATTTGCTGCTAGAGAAACTGAGGGTCAGAGGCAAGCAGCTCAGCTCTGCTGACCATGGCAGCGGTCCACTGCCGAGTGTGTGCAGGACCTCTGCAGCTCGCTAAGCACTGTCCATTTTCCATGGACTCCCCACAGCATTAGGACGCAGCGCCCATTTATTTAGATGACGTAAAAAGAGATCCAGGCAGAAAAGGGACAGCAGCAAGGGGCACAGTCGAGACTCAACTCCAGGATTCTAACTCCAGAGAGGTTATGACCTTGACTTCTGGAGTCAGACGAAGCTGAGTATGCTGCTGTCATCACTGCTCCTTGGCTGTGTGGCCTTGGAAATTCACATCACCTGCCTGAGCCTGTTTTCTCTTCTGTGAAATGGGTTTGTTTTTGTTTTTGTTTTTGTTTTTTGAGATGATTCTAATACCACTTGCCAGCTATTAAGTCAGTTGTGGGGGAGTAGGAAATTTACATCATGCATTCCCCACTCAGTTCTCACAACAGACTCCTTTCCTATCATCTTACACCCATTTTACAGGACAGAAATGTGTATTTCAGAGACAGAAGGGACATACCCAAGACCAACAGCAGTGAGGCAGGATCTGAGCCCGGTGCTGAGTCCAGAGGTCCAGTGGTCATCTCTTTTATACTTTGCCCCAGATACTGAGCCCCAGAGGGGATGTGGGCTGTATCCAACATATCACACAAGAATTCCAGACCCATTCTTTCTTTCTTTTTGAAAGATTTATTTATTTATGCATACAGAACTGGGGTACAGGCCAGAGATGCAGGGGCGGTGAGAGGATTCACCTGAGACAGAGTGGGGAGCAGAACAGGCTGATTGATGAAGTACACTGCTGAGGGGAGCAGCGGGCGGGTCAGGAGAGGTCTGCCGTGCCAT